ACTGGCGAGGCGTGGATTCTTTATGGAATATGGTGACAAAGACCGGTGACACGCCGCCGGATCACCTTCGTTATGACTGGTATTGGAAATACCGGTGTCAGCGCGCTACCGGTCGGTGTCGAGGGAAGACTAATGCCCCACCTGTGGATGGGATGATATTAATATTACCCGAGATGGATGCTGAGAGAATTATGGAGACAAGATAATATGCGCATTGCGCATTTTGCTTGGGGCCCCGACTGGAAGTTGGAACTATTCACCACCAATGCTAGTAGATTTTTCATTCGATGTTGGATAAATTTTGACAGAAATGACGTTAAGCCCTTCGTCCTGTTAGTGTTTGATTGATAATGTTAATCCAGCTTCGTTATGTCGGAACTACGGCAAGGCCGTATGTATATCCATGAAAATGCATGCGATCAGCGATGTAGATCCCACGACATCAAATGAAGGACATAAGATGTGCCATAAATCGACGATAAGTTTTGGCGATTGCTTAACATAGGAGACGTCTAAATTGCACATTGCACAAGGTTGGTCCTTTCGTAGGTAGGTGCTGGTGACCTTGGGGCAGGCTACCAAAATGTGACGTTTCACGAGGTTTGCCACGTAACAGCATTCCTGACATATAGCGATAACTACTGCTTAGTGCTTTTACCACAAGGCGGTAAAATCCCTTGCCTGATGTACTTACCTAGGCTAATGCGCCACTTAAGATCACTGTAACAGTGCATCCATAAAAGCGTGTCAACCTTTTCATTTGACTTCATGCACAAAAACGCCGTGAACTGTAACTCTGATGGCTGTTATTTAATTTGTATCGTAGAGCACGGGAATTCAGCACAGAGATGTTCAGACTGCTGCATTTTTTTCGTTTTCTCTTTTGTACCTTAATTATGGACATATCGACGAGTTTTTCTCTTTCGGTTTGTAACAGCTAGTTAGTGCTACAATGCTACGATGAAAGATGACATCCTATTGATTGAATGTCTCAAGTGCACGACTTTTAAGGGTCCTCTGACTGTCCTGCTGCTCACGTAGCCACTATGTCATGAGACCCCATTTTCATGTATCGAACAATGCTATTGCCCAAACATGCGGCGATTTTCTTGGATTTCTGTAATTACTGAATTGGTTGTTTTGACATGGGCTTGAGTTTCAATGTATCAGAGATTAAACTTTTTTATGTGGCGATTATTCCTTGAAATGTGTAACCGACCGGTCTTCATAAAATGCACCGTATCTAATCACTTTCGTAACGTGGACTCAGCGCCTTGCGTGCAATATCATTGACAAAACCACAATCCATTCCAGTCCATTATTTTAAGCGCAGCCTAATTAATAGCTTGAGGGGACTAGAGGTCTGATTCTATATGCAATTTTGATCCAAACCTTGGTGGTGGTCTTCAATGAAGAAACTGTGCCCATATACATATTTTTAGTCTTGTTTTTCTAATTCTCATTGACATTTAGCTTGTTTTTATTCACGCTAACACGTATGTGAGTGTGTCTAACCGTGCCTTGGCGACTTTCGCTGTCTGGTCTCCATAAGGAAGGCAGTGTACCGCCCCCGCTGTCCGCCCCTCACCTTGCTGTTCGTGCTCCGCCTTTTGCAATATTTCTCTCTCTTTGCAGACTCGACGTTGGTGCCTGACTGTGGCGACCTGTCTCTATCGTTGTCAGTGCGCCGCCTCTCACAATACTCGTTTACCCTTAACAGCCTCGCTGCTGGTGTCTGGCGAGTGGCGACCTGTCAGACTTCTCTCAGCTGGGGCATTCCACGATAGATCGACCAAAGCCGTACACCCTCATATTTTATTTTTTGCTTAAAATTGGTCTAATGGGTTGTGATGGGCGGGGAAGCCAGCTGTGCCAAGGATTTTTTCCTTCGAACAACGGTTTCCGAGATATAGCCTCAGGCAATTCCTGGAGGTCACGCTGCAACCCTATGTTTGGCGGCTTATAACTCAGAAACTATTGGTTTTCTATGGTAAAAACTTTATATGGTTCAACTCGCAATCAACCAACAAACGTTTTGGCTATCTCGGATTTTCGATGTTTGAAAATTTTGATCACGTGACATCTTGACCTTTTTTTCGAAGAGTGACCTTGATATTTTCCCAACTGAAAGTCGCAATTATGTCTGATGACGATTAAAGCCTTATCAATTGTCATTCATATGCGCAAATAAAAAAGTGGCTTTCGGCCTGCGTTGACCTCAGGTCAGGTCATTTTTATGACCTGTCCATTATTACGAGCGGGAGCGACGCGAGATCTCGAGAATAAAGCAAGATAGCGACAAGCGGTAAACAGTACAGGATTCACACGGATAAGGTCTACAATTTTTACGGAGGTCATTTTCAGGTCAGGTCAAAGATGACGCCACAGGGGTAAAAAGGAAGTCAAAATAGTTTTGGCTGTACCTTTTGATCTAATAAAGAGAGAGACGTGGAACAGGCACCATTGTGTTTGCTTTCGCCTAGCGCCAGTTCGTTTTGAATTTCAATACCGATGACCTAAGATCAGGTCAATTTCTTGACCACCCCATTATAAGTCAATTGGGGAAAAATCAGCTCCCTTGTTTTTACACTAAAACGCGTCGGAATTGCCTAATATACGAGGGGCGTTCAAAAAGTTCTCGGCCCGACCATGAAGGAGCAAAGATACGACGTCGACTCATTGGACCAAAAATGTTCATTTAGTCAAATAACCAGCGTTAAGACAAAAATATTTCGCGCAGCGCTTCGCGAGAGGCCCCTGGGTCTCCACAGCCAAGTGGGTTTTGGACGCATCTGGCACGTCCAAGACGGCTGCTTTTGTCTCCTTGCTGTCAGCGAAGTTGCCACTACTAAGCAATTTCCTTATGTTGGGGAAGAGGTGGCAGCCTTAGGGTGCAAGGTACGAAGAAAAAAGTGGATGTGACAACAACTCGAAGCCACAGCTCACTGCTTCGCTGATCGTCACCCTGCTCATGTGTGCTGGTGCGTGGTCCTGGATCAGGCGCACACTTTTAGTCAGCTTCCCTAGTCTCTCCTTGATATCTGCTGCTCGCTACTGTTATAGAAGGGAGGTGTAGCATTCTTCATTAATTGTGCCCCCCTGTTTTAGAAAGTTAACGAGCAGAGCCCCGCCATCATCCAAAAATGCAACCACTGTCACCTTGCCGTCTGACTTTAACGCGTCGCACACATTTGGTGGCCTTTACTCAGTGTGCTTCCACTTGTGCAACTCGGTCACGCCCTGAGGGTCAATGTGTGACACCCACAATCCCTCCACGGTAACAAGTAGTTCAATGAACTCTTTTGGATCTTCGATATAGGGGCCAAAATTTTCGCGTTACGCCTCCTTTCGAGTTTGCCTTTCCTCTGCAGTCAGCAAACGGGGGATGCATCTTGCAGAGATCTTAAACATATTAATACGCTGTCGAAGAATGGCTTTGAGGAACCTGATAGACAACTCCGCTTCTGCTGCGTTGTTTCAGACCAGAACATTTGTCATTTTTCACAAAGGAGTGCTTATTTTTCATATTTTCTTGAGTCAATGCTGTTGATGGGTGGCCACTGCGGGGGTGGCCATTTATGATCTGTTGACCAAAATTGAACAGAGATGCCCACTTTTTGACGCAACTGTAAGAAAGACAAACCTCAACATGTGTTGGCACTAGCTTTTCGTGAATAACGTTTGGTGCATTTTTCTGCAATACATGAACCAAATCACTGTTCTATTCTGGGCGTCACCCATTCTGACCGGGAATAGCAAACTATGTTACGATTAATTAGCAGCCTGAACCAATCACAGGGCAGATTGGTTAATGGCTACGTAAGTGGACATCCCAATAACACATCATTGATCACACCGCGTTGCAGGCCGAAATTCCAACTCCTTCATGGTTGGGCCGAGAACTTTTTGAACGCCCCTCGTACCATGAGTGACTTCATATACGACTAACTTTGACTACCTTGAGACCTTTTTTGCTCCTGGTCAACTGTGACGTTGCTCTTGGGTCATGTGACGTCATTAAAGGTCACCAAATGTTTTTTTTTGCTAATAACTCCTTACAGGTTTGAGATACAGCCGCGCGGATAGGCTCATTGTGTTCAGCTCGTCAAGGCCCATCGAATGATATATATGATGACCTTAAGGTCACGTGACCTAAGGTAAACTTTTGACCTTGACCTTTCGAGATCAACATACACATGTTTTTGATGCGGATCGACGAGAGGATCACGATGGTGCTATTAGTTTGTTCATAGCTGGGATACTTTGAAAGTTATTCGAGAAAAACTTCATATATATGCAGTGCCGCCATTTAGACTTTCTTTTTACCCCTGTGACGTCATCTTTGACCTGACCTGAAAATGACCTGGGTAAAAATTGTAGACCTTATCCATGTGTACTTTGTGCCGTTTACCACTTGTCGCTATCTTGCTTTGTTCTCGAGATCTCGCTGTCGCTCCCGCTCGTAATAATGGGAAGGTCATAAAAATGACCTGACCTGAGGTCAACGCAGGCCGAAAGCCACTTTTTTTATTATCGCATATGAATGACAATTGATAAGGCTTAAATCGTCATCAGACAAAATTGCGACTTTCAGTTGGGATAATATCAAGGTCACTCTTCGAAAAAAGTCAAGATGTCACGTGATCAAAATTTTCAAAAATCGAAAATCCGAGATAGCCAAAACGTTTGTTGGTTGATTGCGAGTTGAACCATATAAAGTTTTTACCATAGAAAACCGATAGTTTCTGAGTTATAAGCCGCCAAACATAGGGTTGCAGTGTGACCTCCAGGAACTGCCCGAGGCTATATCTCGGAAACCGTTGTTCGAAGAAAAAAATCCTTGCCACAGCTGGGTTCCTCGCCCATCACAACCCATTAGACCAATTTTAAGCAAAAAATAAAATATGAGGGTGTAAATTTTATTTATTTTTGGTCGATCTATCGTGGAATGCCCCAGCTGCTTATGTGCCTCCCCTCACCGTGTACCCCTCTTTTTACAGCCTCTCCGCTGGTGTCTGGTGACCTGTCCGAGTTTTGCGCCGACTGTCCGGTGGTGAACCGCCGCGAGCCCGGTCAGACCCAGGTCACCCTTAGCGTGCCCTTCTCCATCGGCTGCGCGGCCGTCTGCCAGTCCGACCTGAGCGTAACGGCCGCCATCGCCGGCGTCAGCGGCTCCACCTTCGTCATCGGCGAGTCCAACACCCTGAACCTGGACGTGAACGTGACGAACGCCGGAGAGCCGGCCTCGCTGCCGCAGGTTCAGGTGAGTCCGGGTGACGTAGCGCTTCAGTCATGGCACCATGGGAACAGTGTGTCTCAGAGTTACAAGTCACAAGTTAGTACGAACACAATGTGTTGCTCAGGTTCATCCAGGAAGCGTATCTCTCAAGTCAGCCAGAGGCATTTGTGGTGACCGCCGATGACCCCCTCGGCCAGCGAAACCAAATGTATGCGAGCTCCCCCTCATAGTTTCCGCAGAGTCTGCATGTCACGCCGGTGAGCTGTCTCGGGTCAATGTCTGGTAGGTGTGTTAAGAGGACATTCCCGCTCGCAACAGATGATGGGTAGCCTGACCAGTACGCAGCGATTGTATGACAGGTGCGTCAGGCGACCGCAAAGTGCGCCCGGAAGTTTGGAATTTCCCAGCCTCAGTGTGCTCCAGGGAGCAGATCCCTACTCTGGATAGACGGCATACCTGTCATCTTTACTTAGCAGAAGTAGTGGTACTGATTAACCCGCGCCCCGTAGGGGGGGGGGCCGAAACGGCCCCCCCCTGTCCTTTTCGGTCGATATCTCCTAAACGGCTGGAGATATCGCCACCAAACTTTCAGGACCCCTCCGGGCATCAATTTTACACATTGTGACCAAAAATTTTTCCAGAGGCTATGATAGGTTGGCCACAAATGACGTCAGAGTGACGTCATGTTCTGTCATTTTCGACCGAAAAAAGACCTTCGCGAGAAGACCTGTCAGGACTACAGCTTTGAAGATACAGAAAAATGATCAAGACATAAAAGGTGTAGAATTGACAGGGCTACAAAACTGCTATCTCGAATTTTTGAAATTTTTGAGTTTTGACCCCCAAAAATCAAAAAAGCATTTTTTGGGATATATTAGCCAAAAAATCCAAAAAGTTTTTTGAGTTTCGAAAAAAACCGGAATATACGTGATAGTGCTTACCGTCTTCTATCTACATACCAAATTTCAGATCGATACCTCGTTTTTTGGCCAAGTTATAGCGAAAAAAACTGTTCAAAAATGATGACGTCAAATTTTCAAACTCAATTTTTGGCAATTCTAGAACTCGTAGAGCAAAACGAAGACCACCATTAGACTCCCCGTGACGAGCTGCATCGAATCGATACCCATTTTATGCAAAAATATCAACTTTGAAATTTGACCTAATTTGACCTGACCTTGACCTGACCTTCACAAAAACGTGACCTAGGCTGGCCCCAAAGGCTGCCTAACCCACATAATCGCATTTGTCATGTAAAATGGACCATAAAACATGTATCACACGACACATTCATATTGTGACCCCCGGTGACCTGACCTCGCTGTGACCTGACCTGGTATCAGTGACCTCAGATAGCAAAGTATGTGTTTGACGAACAATGTACCATCGATGGTTTTCAATAAATTACCAATTTACTCGCTTTCACATCACATTTCTTGAATTGCCTGTGAACGGTGAAAATCTGACCTTTGACCTGACCTGTGACGTCATCGGTTTGACCTAGGTCAATGAAATTTGGTCACAAGGTAGTTCCCTGGTGGGGCTATCGAACGCCGTTTGAATTTTGAAAATCGGCCGGTAACTTTCCGGGGGGGGGGCCGATACGGCCCCCCCCCCTACGGGTGGTAGGGTCCGCCGGTAGCCCTACGGGGCGCGGGTTAACGGAACAACCGCAAACTACCAGAAAGTCTGATCTCATTTACTCATTAGCCACCCAGCCTACATACGACTTTGTTAGGAACGCCGTCCTTCGCCATGCTGTTGAAATCGAGAGCCGACCGTCGCTCTCCGGTACTTTGAACTGTCGGGATGGGACGCTCTTTGGCACGGTGAGCTGACCGGAGTACCTACGAGTGAAATGCTAACCAGTGCCGGAGACTGGCGGATGCAGGGGGTGCTCACCAGTCCTAACGAGGACTAGCCGAACATTGTTTTCTTCGATACCTGTAGCCGGTCCTCCCGCTCCGACCAGCCCTGACCGCTAGGGTGTCCGTCTAGTTAGTTATGGCTGGGTTGTTGACCGCTTAGCCTGGATTACATAGCCTTGATAGTTGTCCGCCTCCCAGTGAATACTTCAGCTGATATAAGTGGCGCTCGGAGGGTATTTCGCGTCGTGAAGAGGCATGGGAATAATGAATTATGAATATGGCTGGATGTCGCGGGGTTACTTCATTCAAATTCCAGAGACGCCAGCTCTCATGTCATATGGATATATTTGTTTATACGATTAAGACATTTACAAAACTCAAACAATGCCAATCACAGTTTTATCCATCACTTCATTCTTGGTACATATGCGTAACTGTTCGGTGGTTTAGAAGAGCTGGGGATACTGCTGCCTGAGCTGGTCGTACTCGGGGAGCTGAGCCGGCGCCACGGGCAGGTGGGACGCCTGCGGCTGGAAGCCACCCTGGTCGGCGATGTACGACACCGTGTAGGTGACGCCGTCGTCGCCGACGTAGGTGTAGCTGCCCTGCTGGATGAGGGAGCCCGTCTCCGGCTCGGGGCCCCGCTGCACGCGGCCCACCTGTTCGGCGGCCGTGCCGTCGTCCTGCTGGTAGCCGTACTCGTAGTTGCCCTGCTGGTCCATGTCGAACCTCTGGCTGATGATGCGGGCACCCTGCTGGGGAATGGCCACAGCCACGGCCAAGAGGGCGGCGAACACGATCTGAAATGAGGACGTGTTGTTAGAACCCAGAAGGATTCGTAGCTGGCATGTAATGGTAAACTACCAAGTACCTACCTACTAAAGTTGGTATTTTCGCGAAATTTTCTTGATTTCAATAGCTCCTTAGCATCCTTAACATTCCTCGTGCTACGAACTTACCGTCTTCATGATGGCTGAGTGGTTGGCTGGTGTGAGATGTGAGACGGTCGGGCTGAGCGGGCCGAGTGATGATCCCGTCTCCGAGGCCGGTTTTATACCTTGACGGCGATACGGGTAACGCTACCAACGGATCATTGAAAGTGTCTATGTGATGACGTCATCATCTGTATGAACCGGTTCTTAGTTGCACTCATCTAAAGCTTAACCTGCACTGCCAATTCTGTCATTCTCTGATTTATGTGAGGGAGGGTAATGCGACCACCCCTTGCGTTAGGGCGAATGTTTAGCCAAAGCTTCTCTTAAAAATGCTTGCACGCGATGAGGGAAACCTACAACATCCGATTTTGAGCTTACAGTAAATCAGTGACCGCTTTAGATGCATCTTATTTCCATATGTCAAAGAAAGTGAAAATGGGTTAAGGCCGTTGTAAACAATACTACCTCCCTCATCCCTCTGTAACTACCCCCCCCCCCTCTGCGTCTCCAGGTGGAGCTGCCGCCGCCGGTCCGTCTGGTGCGCGTGCCACAGCTCTGCACCGAACGGGAGAGGTCCGGCCGCGTGGTCCTCACGTGTCACATTCGACCGCACCCGTTCCCGGCCGGCGCCGAGGGCCGGCTGAGGCTGGCGCTCGACGTCCAGGAGCTGGTACCCGGTACAGAGAGTCTCACCATCGGCCTGAATGTTACCTCGGCAGGAGAGGAGGTGGCGCCGGCGGATAACGTGCGCAACTTTACACTGGGACTGAGGACAGAGGCCGACATCGCCGTCATTGGGTGAGTTGGGTAGGGAGAGGCGGGCGCTGCTCCGGGAGGGGAGGAGGCTGGGTGTCGGACGGGGTTTTCTGAGTAATAGGGCGGCTGCTACGAAATGGGGCATGCTGGGGGTTTAGTAGGAGGAATTTGCGAGGTGGCGGGTGATCGGTATGAGGTGGGATTTTGAAGGAGGTTGAGGGGGAAACGTCGAGGAGAGGGATGTTGCCACAGGTAGGGTACCGTAAAGTGAGGCTATTTGAGACAGTATTTAAAATCGCTATAAAATGAAGAGCGTTTGATTTTTATGTGATATTTTTGCTCAGGAAGGTTTGGAATCGAGCAGTAAATCGCCTGAGCAAAAATTAAGCATAAATTTCAAATGTTTTTTTTTTTATTTTATAACAATTTTAAATACTGTCTCAAATAGCCCCACTGTCTCAAATAGCCCCACCTTACGGTAGGTATAAACAAACAGCACTACCGAGGTGGCGGAGGTGATTTGTGTGTGGACTCTGGTGATCATTAAACAGACAGAAAATACTTTGATGAGATCTGACCACATCAGTGATGACTGCTGCAGACGAACGTTAAGCAAAATACGCCTAAAACCTGGCTGCAAATGACCTAGTTTGAGAAGCTGTCTTTTTTAGAGACAATGCAGCATCTGCAAAAGCAACACCCTGAGAAAAATCGAGTTACACCACAGCTAATTGAGGGCAACATAAAGGTAGTTACTTTTACGTTCACTGTTTCATATATGTCTATCAACCAACCACAATTTATGCGACCATTTTGCTACTGCAGCTACTGCAAAAAGAACATGTTGTGGGCTTCCCAAATTTGCTGGGAGTTGAAGTTTATTGCATTATCGTAATCTATTCCGACGAAGATTAGGGTCAATTGGTGAACATCTCTCGGGACTATGGGCCGATTTCTGAAAATGAATGACCGCAGTTGGACAGTTTTTAGTCCCGCTCCAACCTATATTGACGGGATGAGTCTCACTCGATCCTGGGTTTGCATAAAGTGCCCGAAGACCGCCGATCTGATGCCGTTATCAGATTTTGTGCATTTGTCGGCTGTCGGACTGGACAATCACGTCTCGTCGCACGATAAGCCGCTCTTACTGAGTGGCTTTACGCAGAGTTAAACTGCCAGTTTTACTTTCGTTGTACCTACATGTGACGTCTGTTTGAACAGTTCTCAGTGTCACGGTTGGGGAATGATTATGCGTGAGATGATCATATCATCTCCCGAAATGGCCAAAGAGCTAAGTGTCATACTTATCTTCGTCAAACAGACTCGCACCGTTCATTTGATTGAATATCTGTGACACAATCTTCTTCCCTTTTTATAAAAAATTCCTGCTCACCGTTCATAAACGACGCCTAGGATTGAACAGGCTGTTGATAACCGTTCACGAAAACGGTAAGAGTGATGGTTTTATATAATTCAAAAGTACATGTATTCGTGTTGCCAAGGCTACTGCAGCATGCTGAGCCGGATCTTCGTCTAACTGCCGGTATATCTGCCCGCTATGCGCGTTGAGCGAGCTGACACGCGCGTGTTAAGTTCTGAGAAAAATTGCCTAAATTCGGCTTAAGTGCCCAAGATCTTCACATGCAGGGCCATGCCGTTAGCTGGCTTAACCGCATGAATACCTGCATGTCATTCTTAGCTGTGCATTCAGCCAAACCATCTCGGAACAAGCTCTCAATATACCGCATCATATGATGTCGCTAGTAATGTAGCCGATGTAGTTATGTACATACGTACTGAAGTCCTTTGATATATAAACTGATGACCAATCCATGCTAAGACCGGCATTGGTACTATTCAAAAAGGTTTTGTTTGAATTGATGTATTGAAGGGCTTTGCATAGCTAGCTAGTGTCAATATTAGCTAGCTAATTAGGGTATAAGCTAGTTTCGCTTTCGATGAAAGTGGCAGCCATTTCGAACTGTAGTGAAACCTTGAACCTTCGTTACACTCTGGTATCTCGAGGGTTCTTGGGGAATCCTATCTTATATCGTTTAAAAGGTCACTTGAATTGCGGCGAGATAAACTTGTCCAGTTTTGGTTCGATGGTGGAAGAGCAAGAAGCCTAAATGGCACACCGTTCGAGAGAAGGACAGATGACTACCGGGGTCGGCCCGAAGGCCGACTAGGATCGCGTTAACCGCAGATAGTTTCGAATGAAACTATCAGCCGTTTTTGTTTGCTGGATAATGATGACGGCAGACGACTCTTGAAAACGTGGTAAACCGTACGCACCAGCCGTGAGCCGCCAACCGTAAGCACGCAGCTCTTCGCCCGGCTAGTGGGAGTCTCAAACGGCAGCATTTGAACATTTTACCTGCCAGACGGACAGCGGGAGTGGCAGCCAGCGCGTGCAAAAGTGGCCCACCGAGCCGCCTCGGTGCGGTGAGCTAACGCGTGTTAGCCTGTCGGTGATGCTGTTCCCACGTGGTGCGGCAGGACCCAGCATTCATACCTGATCGAGGGCACCCCACCCACGCTAAGCCCGGCCTGGCGCCTGCGTGCTATAGGCTAATGGCGAGAGATAGCGGCCATACCATATCCATATCATATCCGCCGAGAACCGCGCTGGGTGCGGTGGAGGCGGTGGACTTCCCAGCTGCTGCATCCGCGTCGGAGCATACCTTCAGGAGATGCTCGGCTGGTGGGAGGAGCCGGATCATCCCACGTTTCCTTTTCGACTTTGCTCCGTTTTTTTTTTTGCGGAGACTGAACAAACCGCATTTGATCAACTCTAGTTAGTAAGCTCAGAGGGTTAGATATCAGCTAATGACGCCCCAAATCCTTCGAAGTCAAGTCTTGTGAAGGTGGTCCTGCTTGAGGTACATCATCGCCAGTCGCCACTCATTGTTTTGCCCACCGGGTAATCGGTTCCAAAAAGTCTGAGTCTGTTTCGGGGTTACGGAAAAGCGTCTGTCTCCCAGGCGAACTTAACACCCTTACCCATCCCTCGGCTTGTGACCAACGTGACTACCCACCGCTGTAACCTGAGCCCCTTCCTGCTCAACTCCAGTGACCTGACCTCCCTGCTGCCCCGCTAGTCCCCGTGACCTGACCCCCGTCTCTCTCGCCCCACAGTCAACCGCTGGAGCAGGCGCGTCTCTACTACGACAAACAGGCCGACCGGGACGAGTCGGAGCGGAACGATCCCAACTACGTGATCGTCTCGCACCGGTACCAGGTGCTGCGCTACCTGCCCTCCCCCGTGCAGGCCGTCAACGTCAGCTTCCTCGTGCCGGTCAACATGACGAAGCGCAGCGGCGATCACGTCCGCTTCCTGGACCTGTACCGACCTGAGGCGACTATTGAGAACCGGCGGCTGACGTGCAGCATACAGACCGGCTACTACCTGGCCAAGGTGGGTGGTTAGCGGCTTTTATCTGGCCAGAGTTAGTGGGAGGGTGGCTGTTTGTAATTAGAGGATGATTGAGTATTAGAGCGCTGACAAGTGACAACTATGCATGCAACTGTGAGATTCGAGGATTCTTGCCTGGACCGTCAATTGAAAATAATTCCAGATTGTTCGTACAAATTTCTGACGTCCTTGTTCTTTTTGAATGTCATGCAATTCTCAGTCTTTATATGAGTCTTTTCAAACAATCCCGTCGCCTTCCAGCCACCCTGCGTAACCCTATCCATTTTTTTTTCTCACCAGGATGGCGACAGCTTCGAGGAGGCGCCTCGCACCTGGCGGCCAAATTACGAACTAAGTGCCGAGCAGCGCCGGCTGCTGTCCGCCGTCAAACTGCCGTACGACGGCTCTAACGGCACGACGGTGATGAACTGCACGGAGCCGGGCGTGTCATGTGTGCTACTGCAGTGTCCGACCGTGGCCTTCCCCCGTCAGCAGACCAGCATGGTCGTCACACTGTCGATGCGCGTCAAACTGCACGATCTCGGTGAGAAGGAGGGTCGGAGAGGGGGTGTGGGGAGGAGTGATTCCAATGGGAGCCAGGGTTGCTTGGTTGTAGTTTTATCCTTTGGTATGCTGATAGATACCATGCTACCAATGAGCACCCGATAGCTATGTACATTGTTACATCTTGAATCTGAATGATAATGATATGATGTTAATATCATCATTTTATTTGTCGAGTCCCGATTGATTGAAAATTGGCTGTCAAATTGCGGAACATTTTCAGTTACCTGGCATTCCCAACTTCTCCCTCCGCCTCAAAGACATGATACTTGCCCAGATTTCAAGACCTGTAATGGCATTCCTACATTGAAGATCCCTTTCTCTCAGCAATGACCTCTCCCCAGTGCTAAATGCTGACCAACCCGCCGCTCCCCTACCCCCAGAACCATTTGTCGGCGAGCGGGACAGCCTGGTGATCTCCACGATCGGCCTGGCTGAGGTGGGCGCCGTGCCGTACCGTCTGCAGCCGCTGGACGACCGGCCCGACCTGTACCAGGTGCACTCGGTGCTGCTGCCCTCGTCCCTGCAGCCGTTCCCCGTGTGGATCATCGTGGTGACGGTGATCGGGTCGCTCCTGCTGCTCGCCGCCATCACTTACGGACTGTACAAGGTCAGTATTATCACGTACGGACGGACTGTACAAAGCCAGCCAGGTCGAATCAGCGTGGGAGCTCTGTGGCATCATGGAAGAATGAGATTTTATACAACTTATTGCCAGCGAGGTGCTCGAATTAGTTTCAGGGCTTCTTTGTAAAAAAAAACTGACGATGAATGGTACTTTTTGTTGATGAGATTGTATGTCTTGGTGTTGGGCGTTGACTTATTTGTTTGATTTCAGCTGGGCTTCTTCAACCGGAGGCGGCCGGAGGGCGCCGAGTGACGTCACCAGTCCGCTACGCCAATCGACACACTGCGATCTCGGCGGAGCGGTGACGTCAGAGCCGACCTGTGATGACGTCACACAGCTCCGCGGTGGCACACCACCCAGCTGGCCGCCAGTACCGTGCTTTCTAGTCCCGGCAATGGTCCGACGGCGGATCGGGCTGGCAGCTCAACAGACTGGGCGCGGCCGTGCTCGCCCCTCAGAGAGTGGCTGGGGCAGCCCGGCGATATCCAGGGCCCAGGGGCGGACAGACTGCGTAATTTGTACCGTGCACCGTGAACCGGTGGTGCGGAACTGAATGAGCTGGTCTATCCGAGACTACGGCGCGGGAGAGGCGACTCCAATCCGTCTACAGTGAATCCTCGAGCTCCTTGACAATGGCGCTCCCCGCCAGAGGGCAGGCAGGTCCCGATGCTCCCCAGTGCGAGGCTGCTTGCGCCGCCGAGTCGCCGGAGTCGGACGGGACTGAGTCTGAACTAGCCAACCAGGAGTGATTGTGCTCGAGTGGATGGTGCCTGTGATGGGACGTGAGGAGTTCGACAGAGTTGCCTCGGCGGATGCCTCGGGGGCCTTAGTTGCTGCCGCAGTCCTGATCGGACTCAACTGCGCCGATGTGGGCGCGTTTGCAGCAGAATGCGGCCGAGTGAGCGGGCTTCTCACATTCCAGCTCGCGCCTGGTGGAAGGAACTGATCCGGGGAGGGACGGACAACTGACTGTGAACTTGCCGTAGGGTTGTCAGCTAACGAAGGGACCGAATCGCGTGAAGGTACTGCTCCTCAAGAGTGCCTTTCGAGCTACCGAGAGTGCCTCTGGATGCTTTGAATTACCGAATGCTTCTCGGAGATGCTTTTTGAGTTACAGAGTGCCTCACGGAGGTGCTCTTTGAGCTTTCGGGTGCCTCTCGGAGGTGCTAGATGCCGTCGAATGCGTCTTTGAGATTTACGGTGTTATCATTTACCTGAAACTTTGCAAACATCATGCGTCGATTCACCAGTCATTTACAGCGATGGGGAGCCTGTCGAAATGTGCAGCACAATGTCGCGCTGATGTGAAGACCTTCATGTTCTAACGGCGCGATGTGATGAGATGAGAGAGTGTGATTTTGTACGTTTGTAACTGTGCGATGCAATGTTATGGCAGTCTGAGTGGTTTCTTTTTCGTCTGTCGGGCAGTGATTTATATATTTATTGTCATTCCACCCGGCGCTGGAGTGGCACGCCCGTCAGAAATGGAAAGAAAGCGTTATATTTGTCTTTTATTACAAAATATAAAACTAACAATTTACTTCATTGTGCATGAACTGAAATGAACTAGCCGCGAGTAATTCGAAACCGTGCGTAAAGGAGGTAAATGGTGCAAGACTCCAAGCGACATGCATCATGCTTTTCAACAACAGTGTAACAGGACGCATATTTCAGCATTTGCCAAATTGCCTAAAAAGGACCAAGATGGCACCAAACTCATAAATTTACCTTGCATGATCGGTTATTGACTCATACCAGGCTGACTTCAAAAGGTGCAGGGGAATATCCTGCAGTCACGGCGTTTCAAGATTAAATAAATGTACCCACAGGTCGTGCCTAACGTGCAGTCAACCTTCCACACCAGGGGCTGGGAAGTAAAACAGAATTATTGCACACTGATCAGCGTGGTTTTCTGTAATAAAAACCAAAGTGGAAGACCTCCACGCACCTGTCATTTGATGAAATTTATAATATACATCTATAGCGAAATGGCACCACGAACGCCGCAATTACTGTTTGATCGGTACAGTTCAGTTGATTCTGCTTTACTAGCCAGCCCCCGAGCTCCTAGTTGAGCAAAACATCGCGCTCGTCGTCGGTCGAATAGCCAACAGTCGGCTTCTGACACGGTCCGCGTCCACAGACCTGCGCCGACCCACGGGGAGAGGAACTCAGAACCTCTGCTAACTAGCCCCGGCGCCGCTGTCCCGGCCGGGGACAGAGCGTCGTGGGGCAGCACAGCCTGTCCATAGTCGGCCGCCCGGCCCTGTCCGCCCTCCCACCAACCCACCATCACACCCCAATCCCGTCAGTCGCACAAAACAAACGGTCCTTCGGTAACAAAGTCACACACATCCCGACCCCGCACATCATACCTGTCGCATCTAGGAGCCAACAACTTTCACCCACCACACATCCACACACATCACAACCGCGCAGAGGGCCGCTCGAGCGGCTACGCCACGCCGTGGTCGACCTTCCAGGCGGACACCCACTGGCAAATACGCTCCACGTTCTCCTCCATTTGGTCGGGAGTGTTGCTCGGCAGCTCGTGCACGATTTCGTTGGAGTAGGCGCCGCGGGCCTCGTCCAGCAGAGTCTGGAAGATCTCGCACTGCACGTTCTCCTCCAGCTTCTTGCCAGAGTAGCCGCTGTCGGAGGGAGCACGCTGTTAGCGGGAAATTTAGCACTAAAGGGCGCGAAGAATACAAGTTGTTGGATCAGCACTCAGTATCACATAATATTTTGTCTAGATCGTGAAGTAGGACTTAATATCCTCGAGTCATTGAATTATGAGCATATATGATACATCGCTACCTATGAAAAAGTACGATAGTGCTTGTCTTATAAACGCACTCAAATCAATGAGTCACAATCAATAAGGCAATGCTGCTCAGACCAACCACGGGTCTGACGATATTTGTTCACATACCAGCTAACTCGCGTCAACCACTGACTTAAGTGTCAGTCAAACTCTGACAGCTGACCCCCTCTGCCCCCCCCCCGCCTACCCTCCCTTCCGTACCGTTTGGTAAGACGGTCGTAGAGCAGTTTGTTGTCGGTGCGCAGCACGAACACGATGTCAAACCACCGCTCCGGGAAGAAGTCACAGCCGTGGTACTCGACAATGTTGCCGCCCGTGGCCAGGCGCGGCTCCAGCTCGTCCAGAAGCTGGCGGCGGAACAGACGGTCACAGGGGGTAGGAGGGGCGGAGGGGCACAAGTGGGAAGGGCACACGGGCATGTGATTCTAACCACGTAAAGGCCGGTGACGGTCACAAGTAACATCGGAATGTATGACACTGGATATGCGTGATAAGTTAGTCAGAACACCCGAGAAAGAACATGTAAAAGCCTTACAGACGTCTACCTGACCAGAAATGACAAAATCAAAAAAGTCAGACTTGAGGTTAATGCATCAATATTTCCCTTTAGTCTTATTTACTTGAGGGAGGTAGTAATCACGAGCAAATCTGAACCGCTGTTCTCAGCCACCACCAAGGATCGTTGTACTTCTGACCGCCGCGTCGTACTCACCTTGTCCTCGTTGAGCACGGGACAGCCGTACTGCGGATCAAACTCGTCCAGACAGTCGGTCTCGCGCGCGATCTCGCTAACGTTCAGCCAGCGCAGCCCGGTCGCCTCAGAGAGTTGCTCGCACGTGGTCGACTTGCCCACACCGGGCGTGCCTGGGAGAGTAGACGGGACGTCAAGAGGGAAATTTACGAGTAGACACGGCTAGAAACATGAAAATGGCACAACATGCTGTGGTTGATGCCGTTTCGCTAAAGCGTAGGGACAATGGATTTACAGCAGAATAGACTGCAATCGGCGAAGATTCAGCAGAAACAGCAGTAAATCATTCACCGCAAAAACATCGCAACACCTACACTAATCAACTAAAACTGCAACTGACAATAACATCACAACTCTCACTATTTTGAAATGCCACCCAGATGTGCTCTAATCAGCCCTTTCCCTGACATCTACATAGTGACTCCGGTGACCGCTCCTGCGGGTCAGCGTCCTCTGGCGGTGGCGCAGTGGACCGGCCCGAGCGAGCGGTGACGTAACGCTACCGGACGGCCGGAACCGGGCGCAAGGTCAACCCCCGGCCGAGCAAACCGGCAGACGAAATGACAACAACCTGGCCGAGAGTAATTTATAACGGAATGACGCACGCACAGCCACTGTTTTGACATTTCCGCCGATAAGCACAAGAACCTCGGCCCGAACAACAACTTTCGAATAACGCAATGTGTTTATTGAGCTTAGTTTCAATTAGGCAAATAAACTCACCGGTAACCAGAATGTTTGGGAGAGTCCGGTTTTCCGACATATTTGACAACCTGCAAAATAGAGAAATATGTGAATTGAAGAATCCTTGCCACACAATGGTACTCCGTTGTCCGCACTCCGTTATCCTAAAAAAGCGCAGGGTGAATAAACACAAAAAACACGTTCTCGGCAAATGCCAAACGGCATTAATGGGGAGGGTAATTTCTTATCCATAGAGAATGGTTCAAATATACAAAAGACAGCCATATGCGAAATAACTTATCATTTCTTATTGATAGAAGATCGACGTGGCACAGAAGCTGGATAGGTCAATGGATGCGAATTGCGTAGAATACAGCGCCAGTTTTCTATATTTGCTCTGCGCATATAAACACATCTGATCAGGTCGACACATTCGCCAGGATCCATACAGCGTCTGAATCCTGAATCTACCGTCACTCTGTCTCTGTAATGTCTGAACTTGAAGTCTGTGCTACCACCAACCAATCATCGTCGCGCGAGACAAGACGTTATGCGCTCTTTCAAAGCAGTGTAGTTAGTGCACCAGTCCGTTCAAACCCACACAGTCAACACAATTCATTACACTCACACTGACTGGTGGGGCACAAAACACCAACCGTAGCATCTTTAGGGTACATTGTAGTCATTGTAGATGTTACTGGCTACGATGATTACTGCTATCACAGGACCTAAACTGCACTGTGCTGAAATTGGTCAAGCTATTAGTTATTTGAGATGTGCAGTGATAGAAGCATGTGTTAAGTTGTATGTAGTTAGGAGTTGCGGCATAGCAATCAGTGCATCGCCCTCAGCAAGCCAGCATGCATCCCAACCCCTGCCTAAATAGAATCCAGATTCCAGATTGGAGCCTATCATGATTTGATGTGACCAACAGGGTGCGAAAGGGAACCATCTAGGGTCGGCTTCCATTTGCTCGTTGCTGTTTATGTTAAGGCCTACCTAGCAAAAAATATTACCAATTAAGATGCTTACAGAGTGCAGACAGCATACAAATTTACTGAAGTGTGAGCCAGACATCAGATACCATGCTCAACCCCCAAGCTGACTTAAGTAAAAGATGCAGCCAAAGATGTCTCAAAGGCATCCCACATCTTATCTGTGATCCACTGAAACTTTGCCTTCCTAGACAAGACCACTCACCTCCTTACCTGAGGGCTGTTCACGGGCCCCGTGTGCTGTCAGACCGTACACAGCCTCCAAGCTATGCCCACTGCATCCCTATTCCCTACGTCAGCCTTCTGTCACCGCACACAGCGGACCATCCACAGCACGCAGCCGTAACGTCAGAACTGCCTACCCATCCCCTACCCCCACGCCTGCTGCACACACCGCACACAGCAGTGTGCGGTGCCCGTGAACACCCCTCAGGTCTTCTTCCCTGTTCCCTGTTGATGTTGTTCCTGTTAATGTTAGTGGTGCAGCCTTGAACACCAGCAGACTGGCAGCATGATAGTAACAAATGTGACCGAAGTTGAACAGCACCCATGACAATGAAAAGTACCTACTGTCTGTGGTTCCAATAGGCATAAGGCATATGTCAGAAAATATTTAAAAGCAAAATTAGAGTGAGTTGTATACATGGTAGGTACCTGACTAGTCACTGAGTCGCGTCAGATTTCAGAACAGAACATATGAGTTCAATGAGAGCAGGACTTCCAGGCTTAAGTGCCTTTGCAAATACCGATCACTGTAGTCTGTAAGGTTCGGTTCCATCTTGAACTGCAACATATGGCTACAGATGGCTGGGTTGCTTTCCACGGTTTCCACATGAAGACGAGACGATGAAGTAGGTATTTGATTGCTATATTTTTAAATATTCATGCAAAAACATCGAGCACAAAATATTTCACAAACCTGTCGCAGAGTGCAGAAGAAAATGAGCTGAGTGATGAACTAAAATAGGTTTAATTCAAATAACTTGCACATAACCACGCGGACATCCACGTGCAATTGTGGCGATTTGCATGTTTGTCACTTTTGCGTTGTATATGAACTTTTGCTTCCATATTCATTTCTTGAAGGTTTCCTCCACAAAAGGGCTTTAACTGCAAAGGCTTGCTTCCTTTTTATTGAAAAATATTAAAAGTTAAGTTTGAATTCAGAAATTGTATCATTCAAATAACATGGGCTAGTCCACAACAAGCTTTCGCTGATTTCCAGAGAAGAAATAAAATAAGTCATTTATTATATTTTGAAGTTATTTAATGCAAAATGAAGTAAAAATGGCAAGGAGAAGGCAACTGCGTCACCTACGTCGCCTTTGATTACAAGTGGCAGTGCAATGGACACTGAACTTTGCAATGCAAATGGTCGAAACATTTCTCTTAATTACCTACTTACCAACCTACTTACCTATACCATTGCATATACCTATATAAGTATATAGATACTGCCTTGTTATTTACCATAAATTATGATATTTTGTTGTCATGAATGGTGTCAAGTTATCAGCAGTATTCGTGATTTTACCTTTTCTATCTTATCGGACCCGAACAGGGCCTGTTTGCCATTTTTTTAATCACTAGATGCTAGGTATCAGTTGTGTAGTGCCTGTGTTTCTTGAAATTTCACATTTCAGTTAGAGCTTGTAAAAATTGAAAGATGTACCTATGCGGGTACCAGTACTGACCTACTTTCCTACCTCAGTCCCACGCACAAGGGGGAAAAGCTCAAATTATTGAGCGCTCAAAAAATTGAGCGGGCCCCATTATGAAGGAATAAGCGAAACGATGGTATTTTACAATGCCTCTAGCGTCACACTACAGCAAATATCGCATCCAAATAAGGTATCAATGGTAAGAGAGAGCAACAAGGTTTCTTCTCGAACACTCGCCGTGATAATTTATATCGGTGTTTTTGGAAAGAAAATGCCCTAAAGACGCTCAACTTTTTGAGCGCCACTTGTCGTTCGGGACCGCGATACTCAATAAATTGAGCGCCACGACAGACGACAGTCAGCTGGCGCTCAAAAAATTGAGTGCCGGCCAGCATCTACACTCAATTTATTGAGCCTTCTCCGTGACAGGTGAAGCCGGTACTGGCTGCCATTTTTGATGTTATGTTCGTTGAAATTCGTTAAACTGAGTTGAAACAGAAATGCAGGAAGTTGAATGCTACGTGGTACCTAAACTTTTCACAAACCTATGGCATCATGTCACATTTTCCGCTAGTAGTTTTATCGGTCGCCTTTCGGATTCGGCACACCTCAAATAATTATACAGGGCTTGAATAATCCGTATGAATACTGTATTGATATTTTCTGACTGTACTGGGAGAAGGGAATACGTGATTACAGAAAGATATCCACCCACGCTTGAATATTGGAGAATTATACAGGAAAAACTGTATTGCCACGGTTACAACTTACAAGGCCATCGGCCGCAAACAAACAAAAATACTATACAATGTGGGTTAGATTCACAAACATCATCAAGTGTGGAACACAGAGACGAGCAAAACAACATCACATTATCGCATGCCAGCCCGACCACATTGGAACCGGGTGACCTGCGACCGGAACCTGCGTCTTGCCAGCATACATCACAAAAGCAGGAGGCAGTGTCGTACTGCTTTGATCCAAAATATGCCATATAACAAATGATATAAACGACCTAAGCTCGGACTAAGCTTATCATTATCAAATCCTTAACATGTAAAAGACGAGTGGAAACATCGAGTCTCAGACCAGCAGTAGCAACCATCACAGTAGCAACATCACAAAGAACACGCGGCATTATCAGACAGCCGTTTTGTTATCGGGCTACAGGCGGCGACGGCGTGGTTGCAGACCAGCTGCGAGGTAGCGGCGTGCGGGCAAAAGGCGCGGGCACACCTCCATGTGGCCGTGCGGACAGTGCGCGGTCGGCGTCGCATAGTGGGCGGCATCGGGCTGTCCCGGGGCCGTCGAAGCCGCACAGGTTGTCGGCGCATGTGGGCGCTCCCGGTCACCACGGCCAGCTGCTCACCACCAGCACAGACTGCGCAGCGTCGCCGCTCCGCCGGCCAGAACACGCAGACAACCCTTCTTGCAGTCGCACAACACGTCGCCAAACTCATTCACCTGCTCCACCATGTTGTTGATGTCACCGAGTCGTTCAAGTTGTGGCTCGTGCCGTCGAGCATGACCTGCCCGATCGGACACGGGTCAGCGGCTTCTGCTCCAGCGAAGTCTTCATCTTGGTGACGTCTTGCTGATCTCCACAAAGGCTGAGCAGATGACCTTACCCACAGGGACGGCCGACGTCCTCGCCAGCGACCGCTTGGTTGTGCAGACCTGCCAGAAAAAGAAAAGCTGTTTGGTGATCTCAAACGATTTTTTATCTTTATGCAGTGGAACAAAATGGAAAATATGTCATACAACAGGAACTAAAAAAAGATGCAGCCTAGGTCGTCTAAGAAATGGGTGCAACATTGATAAAATTCTTCCTTGAATGAATTCTACAAATGCTTTTGATAAAATGTGTGGTGATTATAAGGAGACCACTTTACTATAAAATTGCTCAGGATTCCCTATCTGGACCTGTCAAAAAATCCTGACTGCACACCAACAATGAGCATTAAATCCGAAACCTCTACCACGTACCTAGGGATAATTAAATTCTGATTAAGGAAAATATTTCACATCATACAAATAAAAACCTTTACTATATTGAAACTGAAAATGTGATGCCGATCCAGTGACCTAAGGGTCTCAAAGTATAATAATGAATTAATCTATTATAAATTTGGTGGTGACTGCCAACTGGCGTCTGGCAGCCTAGACCTTGAGGCTTGAAAGTGGCCTTCCTTTTCCGTTGACTCCGATCCTCCAGATGGAACTGATATAAAGGATCATTTTTATCTTATTTCAAATGAGCCAGTCAGCAAAGTGGCTATCCTGTTTCAGCATTCACACACACAATAGTTGACTGTCAGTCTGTCATGCTGTCAGTGTTGTGAAGTAACGAAGGAGTTGAGTTTTGTTGATTATAAATTGTGATGTTATGTAAAGGACTGGAAAATGAATGTGAAAACTATGGAAACATATTGGCAGAGTATTGTCACTTACTATCAGGACATATGGATAGAGAATACATTCAAATTAATAAGAAATGCCAAATATCAAGATACTCAATCACTGGTAGCAGTGGACTATCATATGTTTTAATGTCAATTATATGAAAGTTAAGACTGAAACTGCCTTTTACTTCATCATACCTAATGAAAAATTGTGTGAAGAAAACATTCACAGCCTCTTTGAAGCACTTAGACCACTAAAAAACAAAAATTTTCACGTAAATATGTTGTGTCTCTTTCCCTCAAAACATCATATCGGATGGCGCCACTTTCGTCGACAGTTACTTATCTGCACGCAAATCGAGGAAAACGTGAATTGATTGACGTTTACGTGTTTCCAAATTTAAAAGCACAGCATATTCAAACTTTTCAGTGTACCTTTTAACATCTAAATATAACTAAAACGATAAAAACTTACCTTCAACACAAGGACGACGACAACCACGCGACCGGAGACGTCGCGACGAAATAAACAAACGGCGCCGCCTAATGAAAAATATTCTCCGATATGGGTGATGTGAAATTGAGTCGCAATCATTTTGGGTAGTATGAAAAATGCTCTTTCCAACAGAACCCTAGTAAAAAACATGAATGGACAAAAAATAACTTTTATTTCGACATAAATATTGGCCTGTTTTTAAGGCATCCTGGTATGCCGTAAGATTTCGACCTAGAAATTGGTGTTCCCCCAATCATTGAAGCTTGAGCAGTGAAAAATATGAAAGCCTAATCTGTTTTGCATCATTAGTGATTCTCCTAGGGTGTTGCCATTTCTCCCTAGGTGTTGCGAGTTGCTTTTGCAAAACGTGTTCCTGAAACGGCTCAATTTTTTGAGCCCTCAGCATTACGCCTATGGGAGCCTCTGACGTCACACGCTCAATATTTTGAGCGCTCAATAATTTGAGCTTTTCCCCCTTATGCGTGGGACTGACCTTCTTTCTCATTATTATGATTGATAATGAGGACATTTAATATCAATATTGTACCTAGTTAATTCAAATTGTCTTTTGTCTAATGCCCATAGAACCAGTTAAAATCAGGACATGGTAACTTCTTGGTAAGGAATTGTTTAACACCAGCGATACCTATATTGATATGGATGTGGTAAATATAGCGTTCCGGTGGAATGAAGGACAGCTACCATAACTATTGTATGTTTTCCACAAAAATAACTTAGGCAACGCTGTCCCAGCTCCGTGCTGTGTTCCTATGTTTCATATTTGCAAATATGTGCCAAAATTAAGCAAGTAACATCTGATTTAGGAATAAAATAAGTTACCTATTGGAAACTCGTTTGGTTTGGTCTTCAGTTTTACAGAGCATGAATTGAACAGATTCTGACAATAAACTTAAGTCAGCATGTATCAGTTAAAGGTTAGGCAGCTAGGCCTGAATCAGGCAATAGGCATGCTAGAAATCACACCATTCTTTCCATTCTAAGTTCAGTCATTCTGCAAAAGTTGCATATTTCTTGATCATAATACTTTTGGACTTTCTTTTGGCCAGATGGTGGTAACTGGTTTTAAATAGGTGTGAGTTTGCTTTGATATAATATTATGTTTATTCATGTGTTTATGGATTTTACATCTGCTACCAGCAATATTGCTACTAGCATTCATGAACTCTGAGACATGACTGTTTTCATTTTATGGTCAAGTTGAAGGGAAATCTTTAAGCTCAACTGGTACTACAGGTTGTTTAATGGATTGCAATGATGTTGTCCCCATAGTTACAGTTCTCCCTCTTTTGATATATTCTTCTTTGATATGGTCCATTTATTCATATTTCACATTCAGCATCAACATTTACTTTCTAATTTAAGTGAAAAACTTTGCAGAATTGCATGTAATTCTATAACAGAATATGTTAAATGCTAAGAACCTGTGAAATAGATATATCATTTCCTATCAGGGAATCACCTAGGTGCACTGCCAGTTGCCAGTATCTTGCTATATCACAGCACAGCAACCACTCCAAAATTTAGCATTCCTTTGTCTTGTGACTCACCCATTTAAAGAATTTCTTGGGTTGCAGGCTGCACTTGGTCAACTTCTGAGTTTGTTTTTATTGACAACCTGCACAAACAAAGCCTTGGTAGCAATTAATGATGATCAAATACAAATTGCAATATTTGTTCAAGGTAAACCAAACTTCATGTTCAAGTGAATCTTCATTTAGCTCACCAATCCTAGTCTCCCTGTTCTATTAGTTTTTCTAGTCAGTGGTTGATAGGTGTGCTGTGTAAATTTTGGCATGACATGGACTATATGAAATTGAGGTAGGGGTATTTGTAACAATTTCATGTTTTCAGATGCTTGTTTGAATGGATAAAAAGAAGCAAGCTTCTGTAGTTATTGACTGCTATTGTGGTGCCTAAGCTTTGAGGTCCCAAGTTTATATCACATCCGTGCAAATAATATATCAAGATGCCTCGTGTCTTCATCAAGGGAGGAATATGGAGGAATACAGAGGTCAGTATAAGGATTTTTAGTATTATATCCAATCGATTTATATCTTATAACAATCTTGATTCCATGTGTTTGGTCTACTGATAGTGGTACTTTTTGTCTCACTAATCCTTTTTGTATGATCATTTTTTGCCATTCCTGCTAAAATGACTCAAGATCATGCTGACTTTTTCCCTGTCATTGTTTCTTGTGCAGTGCTGACATTTTGTTTAATTAGTGATTGAAGCTTGTTGTGAAGTATCTATGTCTCTTGAAGGATGTGACCTGTCATGCAGCACTTAAACTGACTCTCTCAATCTCAGGTTCTGACATCACACACTCCTCCCCACTTGAATCGCCTCTCCTCAGGACGAGATCCTGAAGGCGGCCGTCATGAAGTACGGCAAAAACCAGTGGTCGCGGATCGCCTCGCTGCTGCACCGCAAGTCGGCCAAACAGTGCAAGGCGCGCTGGTACGAGTGGCTCGACCCGAGCATCAAGAAGACAGAGTGGAGCCGTGAGGAGGACGAGCGGCTTCTCCACTTGGCCAAGCTGATGCCCACCCAGTGGCGCACGATCGCGCCCATCATCGGCCGCACGGCCGCCCAGTGCCTGGAGCGATACGAACTGCTGCTGTGAGTGCCCGAGGAAGCGGGAGGGGGAGAGAGGGGAGAGAACTGGAGCTGAAGGGAACCGGGCAACAACCTTGCCAGGGATTGGGTTTTCATCTTCAAGGAAACAGTTTAACCTTTTAGAGTGACATATGGATCAGTTTTAATTTTAATCATTAACTTGTCTGTTTTTATGTCTTGTTTTTTTTGGAACCCTCGATGTGCTATGTACAACTGTACACTGCTGACACCCCTATGCCACGCCTCAGTGACCAGGCGCAGAAGAAGGAGGACCTGGATGAGGCTGACGACCCGCGGAAGCTGAAGCCGGGCGAGATCGACCCCAACCCGGAGACGAAGCCGGCCCGGCCCGATCCGCAGGACATGGACGAGGACGGTATGGATCCGAGACCCGAACTGGACTCGCAGGGTCCCCGGGCTCCTGCTTATCGCGTAAGGCAGTAATTTAGTGCTGCGCCAGCTCCCGAGCTTCGTTTTTTTGTCGTGATCGTTCAGCGTTCGAATTTTCTTCAGATTCAAAACACAAGGATTTGAAACCCAAATGGGGAAATTATAACTGACTGGAGAGTATCTGATGGAGAAAGAACAAATTTTGTGTGTTAATTACTTTTATCATGGTTTAGGCAGAGTAAAGTTTTTTAACAAACATCACCGTTAAAGACTACCGTGTCTATTCGCGATCGCCTACTCACTGCCGCCATCCTTCCCGTCCCGTTCAGAGCTGGAGATGCTGTCGGAGGCGCGCGCTCGTCTCGCCAACACACAGGGTAAAAAGGCCAAGCGGAAGGCGCGCGAGAAACAACTAGAGGAGGCGCGTCGGCTCGCCTCGCTGCAGAAACGGCGCGAACTGTACGCTGCCGGCATTGAGATCAATCCGCGCATCAAGAAAAAGAAGCGTGGTATCGACTATAACGCCGAGATTCCGTTTGAGAAGCGTCCGGCGAAGGGATTATACGATTCCACGGAGGACGAGTACGACCCGCTGGCACCGGACTTCAAACGGCTGAGGCAGCAGCACCTGGATGGCGAGCAGCGCAGTGAGAAGGAGGAGGTGAGAGAGGGTAGAGAGGTAGACGAGAGAGCTGTGCCAAAACGGGAGGGGATGGTGAGAACAGGGGAAATGGGATATCACATAGGAATGGAACATTTTTTTAAAGCAGGACAGAAGTAATGCTATTCTAATTCATACTAATTCATTACATGAGGATACATAATTCATTAGAGCATGCCTAATGGTCATAGTTCCTTACGTGTCTTTGGCGCTGGCAGTTCTATGGACCGCACCTACGCCTTTAATGTTCATTAGTCTGGATCTTGACATTCAGCTGGTATTTTACCCTTTATCTATATGTACTTTAGTCAGTTATTGCTGCCACTGACGCGCTGTGTGCACCTGTGCCCGCAGCGTGAGCGTCGCAAGGACAAGGAGAAGGTGAAGAAGCGGAAGGAGAACGACATCCCGGACGCGCTGCTGCAGAACCAGGAGCCGGCCAAGAAGCGCTCCAAGCTGGTGCTGCCGTCGCCGCAGATCACCGACCAGGTACGTGCGTCAGATGGGGAGATAGAGAAACGGGCTTCGAAACAGTTGACTCCTAGTTCCAGTCACGGACCTATGGAATCGGGGAATGGTCCTCATGTGCCATTAGGAGGATCATCCCTGCTTGAGTGAATGGTTTTCCATACAGGAATGCTCAACCATTCAGGAATGGTTTGTCGGAACAGTTTAAACAAAATGCATTTTAACAGTCTTTGTGTACTCATACACGTGATTGAACATTCCTTTTATCTCGTTTGAATTGATCCGAGCGGGTCCAATTTGACATTTGTTCTAACATCCTGTGCCCCCCCCCCCCCCCACCCTTTCAGGAGCTGGAGCAGGTGGTTAAGGTCGGCAAGGCGTCGGAGGCGGTCCGTGAGCTGGCTGAGGAGGGCACGGACCGCGCCACGGACGCTCTGTTGTCTGACTACACGGCCACGCCGGCTGGTGGAGCGCTGCGCACCGCCCGGACGCCCATGGCGCAGACGGACCGCGTGCTGCAGGTACGGTGACGGAGAGGATATGGGGTACGGGAAGTGGGTAGGGATGTACGGTACTGCATGGAGGTACTGAGGTAGGATATTGATTTAGAGGTAGATGCCTAGCTGAGGAAGATGCAGTGCTCCGGGTGGGTAACTTATGGCAGATAGGATATTATTGGACCTTTAGAACATATTAAGTAGGTACTAATCATGACAAGCTGTTCACTGTATGTCGAAACTTCAGTCTCGTTTTTTGGTTGCCACGTCCAATGTCCATACCATTTCATTATTTTTGTATCAAAACATGATTGCTGAGTACATTTAAATCCTGTGTCGGTGCTCCTTTAGCACAGTTATGGGTTTGCATCTATTTTTTCACCGAGAATGGCTGAACTGCGCTCCTTCACTGTCTACCTGACCCGGATGCCCTCTTCCCCCACAGGAGGCGCAGAACATCATGGCTCTCACGCACACAGACACGCCTCTGAAGGGCGGTGTCAACGCGCCGCTGGTGGACGCCGATTTCGGCGGCATCACGCCCGCCAAGCCGGACGTCGCCACGCCCAACACAATGCTGACCACGCCCTACCGCACGCCGCGAGACAACCCGGGTACGGCTGGGGTACTGCCAGGAACCTGGTTGTGCCCGGGTATAGACCGTATTCGTATCATTGTCCATTGCTTTGTTTGCTTTCTGTGACGCTTATCCAGATGAATGTTATCTAAAGCTGAATAAAGCATTGTTTTTTTTAAGATGCTTTATATTCGTAAATCACTTGGCTGACAAAAACAATGTTCACAGAAGCGCCATGTGCTTACATGATTACATGTGTAGTGTGTACCTATAATGAGCCATTGATGTTGATGTGAGTGACTCTCACTCACCCTCACTTCCATCGCCTCCCACCAATACACGCCACCATTCTCTGACCGGTGCGCACCCCACCCGGTTACCCATCAGGTCAGACGCCCGGCGGGTTCAGCACCCCGGGCCTGTCGCGCGCCGGCCGTACTCCTCTGGCCACACCGCTGAGGGATAAGCTGGCCATCAACCCGGAGGATGCGCTGGAGGCGGAGGCCGGCGGGAAACATCTGCAGCTCCAGGTCAGACTTTTACCGTTTCTGTCGGCCAGGCACTCTGAGGGAGGGGTTAGGGGTGGTAAGGGTAGACATGGGACAATGCGTATGGACTAGGTAGCCAGACTTGAGTTTGGCTCGAATTATGCGAATTTGGTTTTGAGATCGACAAAGTATTGCAAGTTTAAAGATCTTCTCATACCTTGCTAACAAAGTCGCGTTTTATCCATCTCTTTAGAAGAATTTGCAGCTTTGAAGAATTATTACTGGGCTTGTTACCTTCTTCTCTGCGTACAATTATTGTCAAAACTACGTGCTGTTATGTATCACGTTCTCTGAGATTGTGCCATTTCTCTCCTTAGATGAAGGAGCAGCTGCGTATGGGCCTGTCGTCGCTGCCGGCGCCGCGGAACGACTTTGAGATCGTGGTGCCGGACGACGAGCCGGCGCCGGAGGAGGCGTCGGCCGGCAGCCACGCCGACCTAGTGCCCGACCAGGCAGACGTCGAGGCGCGTCGTGAGCAGGACGAGCGGGAGAGGCGCGAGCGCGAGCTGCGCGCCCGCTCCCAGACGCTGCAGCGCGGCCTGCCGCGCGCCACTGAGGTGAACGCGTCTGTGCTGCGGCCGACCAACGTGGAGCCGCCGCTGTCGGAGCTGCAGAAGGTAGGGCACAGGGGAGCGGCGAATGTGTTGAGGGAAGGGATTGCTAAAGTGCATTGGCTTGCTATGGTAATTGGTTGATAATGGCACTGTATGTTGTTTGTTGAATGTTGTGCGAGGCTATCGGATATCGACATTAATTGTCGAAATTATGCCTCATTTCCGCTACCGTCACCTAACGCTTCCCCGCCCCGACAGGCGGAGGAGTTGATAAAACGTGAGATGATTGTGATGCAGCGGTACGACGGCCTGCACGACCCGGTGCCGGGCACATCTCAGCCGGCGCTGCAGCAGTACCAGTCCTACCTGGACACCCACCCGTACCAGCAGGTGCAGCCGCACGAGATGCAACAGGTATGTAACCAGTCCGCACGATATACAGCAGGTACGTACTGTACCACTCATACCTGGACACCCACCCGTACCAGCAAGTTCAGCTGCACGAAATGCAACAGGCTCGTAATTGTAGACTGCAGCGATGGTACTGCTCCTTGGCCATGCCACTGCAACCCCTTTGCCGCTGCGATGGTACGGCAAAGGGGCGGGATAGATGGGACCGCTGTTTAGAAGCAGGGCGTGGACGTGTTCGATCTATATCTGCTAGCCATGTTTTTATCATCGTTTTGTTAAGTTACATCTGCGTCGAGATTTATCTTTTCTAAATCGTATCTGCATTTGGTATGAACTCTGACACAACTGAAAAAAAAAAACATTAAAAAAAATTGAAAATGAATCCTTGCAATTATAGTAGCGATATCAGTAACGTAAACGCTGCACCTCCCCAGCCCAGCGACCTATGATGACCGTCCTATGTGTCTGCCGGCAGGCCAAGGAGATTCTGCGCCGTGAGATGGAGGTGGTGAAGCAGGGTATGGGCCACGGAGACCTCACCAAGGAGGCCTACCGACAGGTCTGGCTTGAGTGTTTGTCACAGGTGAGTAGCGTGCGCAGGTGGGTGCGGGGCTGGCGCCGGGATCGAGCGGGAAGGAAATGGGGATGAGAGCCATGTCGGGCTCTGCTGTTGAACATATGAGAAAAAATTCAACCATTTCTCAAGTAATTGTGCACCTGCCTGTCTGTACGTTATCTATACGTTACACGTTTATCTATTGTCTATTATACGTCTATTGATACGTTGAAACAATCCAGTATTTTATCGCTTGTTGAATTCGGCTCAGTCGTTTTATGCCATCAACTCGGCCTCATTTACCTCTCTTATGACTGTGATGTGACGTTTTCTGTCGTCGGCAGGTGCTGTTCCTTCCCAGCCAGAGCCGTTACACGCGTGCCAACCTGGCTAGCAAGAAAGACCGCATCGAGTCTCTTGAAAAGCGACTCGAGCTGAACCGCACGCACATGACCCGAGAGGCCAAACGGGCTGCCAAGCTGGAGAAGAAACTGAAAATTCTCACAGGAGGGTACGTCAGGGATGGGGAATGGTAAAAGGGATCCATAGGCTTGATCTGTTGGGTGTTGGCATCCATCCATTGTCTCGAAAGTAGGAATATTCCGATTGACCCGTGTTGCACCAATGTCGTAAAGGTAGTCATAAATTTGATAAACCCACATGACGAAAGTAGGACTTGCAGAAGGAACGCATGTCCCCCTCATTCCGTCATTCCGTTCATCAACCATGTATCCGCGGCCTCTGCCGTCTCGTCGGGCTCCCTAGTGCCCGCCTCTCCACGGTCTTACCCACCCCTCCTCCGTTCCTCCAGGTACCAGTCCCGCAGCACTGCGCTCTCTAAGCAGCTACAGGACGCCACCGAACAACTGGACCAGGCGCGACTCGAATTGGCCACCTTCTCGGCACTGATGGAGCACGAGCAGGCCGCCATCCCGCGACGACTGCAGGTCAGTCGGCGACGCCGCCTGGCGCGGATGGGAGGGTGGGTGGGGGGGGGAGGGGGGCGTCGGGTGGAATGACGATGAAGACATGTTTGTAACTTGCTACTTAGCTGCTGTGTAAATGCAAGATGAGGTCTTATTTTAGGCCGAGGAGCTGTTATCTCTTTCCTTTTTTGGCGAGTCGAGTACCCACTCGCTTTTCATTCAGGCAACGCCTTTACAATTCATAAATCTATCGTGAGTCAGAGAAGTGGAAAGCTGCGATTTGTTTTGGATGGTTATCTGCAGTGGTTTTGAATAATAATTGACTTGTCATTTTCGAATTTAGGTTTGCGTGCGAGTCAGTCTGCGAGTGTTGGTACTTGCGAGTGTGTGCGTGAGTGCTGCTTTTTCGGTATACTACGTTATGCCCAGATCTTCTCGGTCTTCGTTTCTGCGTTTCCCCCGCTTTCGCTGCCCCTCCTCCGCGATTTCACGCTACCCGTGTCGTCCCCACAGTCGCTATCGGAGGACGTCAGTCGACAGACGGAGCGGGAACAGCTGCTGCAGCGGCGCTACCAGCTGCTCAAACAGCGGCTCGAGGAGCTGCAGCCGGCAGCTGCCGCCGGACACGGCCAGGTCGACGGCTAAGGTGGGCCAGGGTGGGCTGTCGGCCGCGGCAGAGACACTGCAGGACTCGGAGTGGGCTGTGTAGGGTGTGATGTCGGCCTGGGCCCAGTCATACTGCGGCTAGCGGCTCCTGTGTGGTGTCAGTCCGGATCGGCCATACAGTGGCTAGTGGTTCTGAGTCCCGCCGACCAAGCGCTGAAGGCAGTGACAGGCGTCAGGCTCGGCGAGTCTCTAGACAGCCTCCGAGGCTCCGAGACTCCAGGATCTTCAGACACTGAAGTCTGCAGAAGTTAATGATTCCCCGACAATAACTGGGTGAGACGGAGCGCGCTGTGGACGGATAGTGTGACGGGCGCCCATCGCCGCTGCGAGTCCAGACTGAGGTGTGTCTGTATGTGTGTGTGTGTATTTAGAGGGACAGTGGTGCAGCGACGTGAGGCAGTGACTAGTGAAGTGAGGCAGCGCATTGCGGTGTGGGACGGGAATACTACACTGACGCTGGGGCTGGCTGAAGATCGCGTTTGAGACGCATCGGCCCACCGTTTGAGACGCATCGGCCCAGCGTTCAGGGTAGCGTGGAAAAGTCTGCGTGTACTGAGGATGACCCGGACGTGTGCCCTCTGCTCCGGATTCGCTCTCCGTGATCTGTAGTCGTCCCGAGTTTCACTAGACGGCGCTGGCTGCGCCTGTCTGAGCGTCTCTGGTGCTACTTTCCGGTCTCCCACCACTCACTATCGGTCGCTCTTCGCCTGAATACCGGCTGCTCCGCGTCGGGCACGGACCGTTTCTTTTTTATAACAGATTGTTGATGTGAGTAGGTTGTATCTTTTTAGGCATTTTCTCATTTGGAAAGGACAGATTTGTTGGACCGTGGATGTAATATCTGCATTGATTTAGCCAGGTTGTCATCATTTCTCAATACATCTTAAATAACAGAGTTTATTTGTAATGGGACGATGAAATATTGTGATTTGCTGTAGGACCCCGCCACGAGCTGCGTCCAAACGCCGGCTTTCGGTCATTGACCCTAGCTGACGTCGGCTTCCAGATCCGCCCCCTGAGCGACGCACATCGCAAAACGCCTATTCAATTTCCGCTCTCGGATTAAGTTCATTACCATTCATCAGCTGAAACTGCTCAGACCCGTGTGTGCTCGCGAGTGCTTCCCAGGCAAGCATAGTAGGTACATGTACCATGACCCGTCTGTTGGCCTCATGCGACTCCGCACACCCCTCCCACCCGCTTCACCCCCGATTAAACGCAACGCTGTATCAGTTTACCGATGTTGGTTTGGGTTTACGGCAGTTGGAGCTACTTCTGTTGTATGACGCACGTCATACCAACTCAAGGACCCAAAAACGCGCCGTCGTTTACGAACGTTAATTGCAGGAGGTCGTCCACGTCCGGTTCACAACTATAAAACACACCGAACACGGCCATCCCTACCAGGGCCACCGCTTTTGTCGTTTTATCGCCGGACAAAGGACTGCAAAGCGGAAACATGGCCCTCGCTATGCCATTCGTTGTCTATCGCGACAAACTGCGCAAGGGGAGTAGGATCAATGGTGGCCCTCTCGGGCCGGCGCGCCCGAATCGCGCGCGCGTTTTTGGCCAGCCCGCAGTGTCAGGGTCGCCGAGCCCCCCCCCCCCCTCCGCCCGGTCCGAGTACCCAGACCTCTGTTTACGGACGGTGGATTATAACAGAAACCCGCGATGAGAGGATGCCGACGGAAAAACGATGTCGTTTGTCTCAGAGGATGGTGCAGCACGTGCGGGCTACGCGGTGACGGAATGGCAAAACTGTGTCCGACTAAGAATGGAACTCTTGAGTCGGCGGCGGAAAAACGCAGCGGTTGGAGGGATTCTCGGGGGTCAGTTTTCAACGCTTTATGGTCAGCGAATGCTAGTTATGTGTTCATGACATGAGGCTTGGTGGAAGACGGACTGGTACAGGATACCCAGTTACCCGCTATTACTTGTCACTCGTTTTAAGCGGAAACTTATTCAGCCATTGAACAATTTTAGTTACACAAAAGGAATTCCGTTCTGCATGTATAATTATTAATTACGTCCAATTAGCTTCCTGAATCGAACACACTTTTTGATGAACTCCTTTGTCGGAGATTTAAATTCTTGCCGTTGACTTTCGCTAGACTGCAACGCCCGACATCTGGTGACTTCGTCGGTGCACACAACAGCAGCACCAAATGCTGGAGACTGCAATAAGGAATACACGGTAGCACCGGTCACAATCAGCCAGCGGGCGCTACAGGGAATTTTCCTCAGCCAGCGGGCGCCACAGGGAATTTTCCGCTCGAGAGGACTGCAGCGCTGAACAAGACAGTATATAAGTGGTCCTACAGGGTGATCGAAAAAAAGTGTCACCCCTAACTTAAAATCTACATAACTCGCGACTGGTAGGTCGGATGACTTCGCGCCAGGCAGCATCGAAAAGAGCAGGCAATTTCTTTTCAATTGAATGCATTCATGATTGTTTTCTATTCCAAATCATGCCCCCATGGGCTAAAAAACCAGTCAATGTGCGGCTTTCACGTGAAACGAAATTCACCGAACGGGATCAGACACCGCTGAACGAGAACAATGAGTATCGTAACTCAACATGGCACACACCTTACACATTACACATGGAGTGTATGTTGTTCACTGCAGACTGTTTCTCAGCTGACCTTAGACTCGTTTCTCAGCTGACCTTAGACAAGGAAGACCTTATCAGATCTTCCTTGCAAACATGCGGCCTCATTATTCACAAATTCGCCGGTAACTAGCGAAACATTGCGACAACCTGCACTACCGGATTATCAATTTTATGCAGCGGTAACCATGGAACAGTTAAGAAAAATGCTCACGTGAGCTGTCATGTGAGCTGTCAGATCAAAAACTCTGTCAAAAGTACAAATTTGCACAACCAAACTTTTGAACACGCCAAATTGCGTCCTTAACATACTTTTTGAATAGCTACATCTTCGTTCGCGGCATAAACCATGCATATTTACATCCATTCGAAAGGAAATTGTATGCTCTTTCCAATGCTGTCTGGCGCAAAGTCGTACGACCAACCAATCGCGAGTTATATGGCTTTTAAATTAGGGGTGACACTTTTTTTCGATCACCCTGTATATAAGTGGTCTTATACTGTCGATGATAAGAATGCAACTAGTAAGTACACAACTCATTTTATGCATAAAAGGCATAATTTCGTTAGGATATTATGGAATGTAAGAACTTGAAGCTTTTTAGAAAATAGTAAAAAAAGGCATAGTTTTAGCGTTACATTAATGATTCATGTAACCCATGTAACTATCGACATATAGGTTACTTGATACCGGAAGCGTAACGATATAAAAAAACTAGCGAAATGGGCGGTGTGTCTTTGATAATATTTGACGAGCCCTCAAACCCCGTTCGCCGTTTGTCAATGCGCCTTTGCACACATGACTATTCCGCGCAGGTGCACTGTCATGCTTTGATCCAGAGCTGTGAAGGGCTTGCGGATAATGGGGTAAATGTCGTCTGTGCTGCTTAACCAGCAGACTACATAACTTCTAAATCAGGGGTCGGCAAATGGTGGGGCATGCCCCCTTTGGGGGTAATGTCGCCCTTCGGCGGGGGGTAATGAGGGCCTCTGAGAAAGCCTCATCTTTTTAGAATTAATGGCTCCCTTGATGGGACAGACATCGCAACTGTTGTGCCCCAGGATTCAAAAATTAGTCGAGGGCAAACGCACAAAGCATGAACTGATCAGCTGGCGCATGCCAATTTTCCTGTACATAGCTGCTCACCATTCCGTACAGTCGCGCAAAAGTAACTGTCATGTATTAGCCGGTGCTCGCCTGTTGGCGATTTCACAGTCACTAACGCAAGGGAGAGGAGTTGTCCATTGCACCCTGACCCGAGCATCTCGGCCTCTGAGCTGGAGCTTTGCAGAAAAATTGAGCGTGCTGCCCGTGAAGATAGGCAGCCGCTGCTACCCAATTTAAAGGTCCTTGGTCATTTGGTGACCTTCCAGAGGTCAATGACAAGTCCCGAGTAAATCGGCTCTTGCTGTAACTTCTTGAAGTGAGATTTTGTGGACTGCCATGATCTCAAGAAAGATCTCACAAATCAACGGTTATTCGGGTTAAGGTCATGCCATTTTCAGGACAGATAAAAATGATCGGCTCGAGGGTACAGTTTTTATGATCCGACCCTTTTAACGTGATCTATTCCCGAAAAATACACGCTACCCCTATTCGTATGGGGGTTAACCCGCGCCCTGATGAGGCTCCTGGGTATCCACGCCCTGCTGGAGGTGGAAGTTGAACCCCCTCCCCCTTCTAACTTGTCTCCTGGGTCACTAGCGAAACGCCGTAGTCGGCGTTCGAAAGAGAGTAAGACATGATGAAGGAAAACTATGGCCACTTTTTAGGTCAAGTCAAAGGTCAGCTCACCAGAGGTCATCGAACGTAAAATTTCGCCAATCTCCAGGTCAACCTTTGACAATTTTCGACAAACTGGCCTATAGCTCAGGAAAGGATAGAGCTACAGAGCTGCGGAAAAACGCATTCGATAGCTCTCTTAACGTTTTTTTTTTTCTGATGACGCCCTCAGATCTAAGAATAACAATTAAGCCTGCGGAGACAAAAATGGCTAAAATGTACGTTGTTTGCTGATAAAATGTACGTTGTTTGCTGATAGTTTTTCTTCAGTAGCGTTTCACTCAGAACTTGCAAGAGCTCACTTTTATCAGCATCGTGCTCCCCCCGTCGAGAAGCATCGAAGGTCTTGTTGCACATCAGGTGATCCGTGTCGTCGAGCTAAACACATCTAAGGTATTTTCATCGCTCTGGCATGCCTTTATCAAAAGTTATTAGCAAAAACTATTAGATACCGTTCACGACCTGAAATGACCTCAGGGACATACAGCGGGGTTACGGGTGCAGTTTTCCGGCTCAGTGGTCATGTTTACTTGTGATTCAGTGCTTCACAGTGCTAGGAATGACACTCATCCAAAAGAGGCGTCTTTCAATTTCCACCATTGACTTTGCGACCTCTCCCATTGATAACGAGAGAGGGCGTGAAAGTGAGCTGACCTTTGGTCACCTACATCAAATATCCGAGATACAAATTTTGTACATGTTTTGTTGCCTTTGTCAATTCCTGAAAGTTTGAAAGAGATCTCTGTTACTCTGTGTAGCTACAACAGGCGTTACAGTCTTTACTGAGGTGAGGTTACTTGACGTGATCTGGTGACCTGACTTTGAGCGACTTTGGTCTGAAATTTTCACAACATGTGCAGACAAAATGCATGACAAAATGTGACAAAATGGTGGCGCTCAACTTTTTTGAGATATTTGCGAGAAACCGCAGGGGGGTGGGGGGAGCCCGTGGTTTCTCGCAGATATGGTACCCAAAGAGTCGCGGAAAAGTATGGAATTTTAGTAACCTTGGTTGTATCGCCAATGGGGTCTGGCAGGTGGGGGTAATGGCGCTGCCTGGCGCCAAAAAAGGGGGCACGACCCCGGAGGACCTGCCGACCACTGTTCTAAATAATGTTTCATGGGCTTGTATCCATAATCCAGTTTTGATAGCTGCGTCTATTATCGAGTTTAAAGTCAGCAATAGACATTTTATGCTTCTTAAAATAGTATAAATTGAACGGTGATACACCCCCTCCAGTCTTGCTTACAGAGCCTGTCGGCATTGGACAGGTTTTGTCACGAGTAAAAACCAGGTGCCGTGATCACACGATGATAGGGTGTCGTGACGCTTATGAGGAGGAAGTGCCTCGGGTTATTTGATGCAGATGAATTGCCCCTTCATTGTCAGTTCAATGTTTTTCTCGCCGCCCGTGCAACTACGATTATTGGGATGAAATATATGGCGTTCTTCGTTATCGTGAGTATCGTATTGCGGTAGACAACTCGTTATTTGGCTG